GACTATTATAACAGCGCATCGGAGTTTACATATATTATTTTAAACTTTATGCGGTTTTGAACTACTTAGGTTTATAAGAAGAACTTTTAGGATCCTTCATTAAAACTTTGAATTAAAAAATAGTTATGTAAATTTGTTAAAAATGACTTCATTTTAGTGGAACAACTGATTAAGGTAAACAAATTTACGGTTAGTATTTCACTAGATTCATGTCAAATTTACTTAACTAAATACATCAGGATACTTTATATCTTATATAACATATTATGAAGTTAAGCTTTTCATTTATTAAATCTAGTGGTGCACGCGACATATGATTACACACACTATGAACAACGAACGTGCATAAAAAAGTTTTGCGATCAAAGGCGTCTAATGATAGAAAAGTCTAATTTATTATTTTGAATTAAAAAAACAAGTAAAAAACGGTTCAGCTGAAATTTCATCTTGTTTTAAGTGCAGCTTACGTGCATTCAGTTTTTATTAATTTTATTTTACTACTGTTTAATCGTGCCATATTGTTCGAATTAATAGTACTAGAATTTGTTTACATTTATGTGCGTTATCAACGACTTGTCTATAAATATTTTATAAGAATTCAAGGTCTCATTTGAGTGGAGCAGGTGTGAACCTTTGTTCATGACTGCAATTTTTTATTGCATTGAAGAGTGAAACATTTTCATGCTATAAAAATTTTATGCAAGGGGTTCACAATATTTTCACAAATCTAATTTACTTTTAATTTACTGAATATACACAATGGAACAGATCTAACTGACAACTCATATAACTTATGATCTACATAACATTTTATACTTTTTTTAAAATAAAATTTTACAATATAGAACTATATTTAAAATATGTTTTATGTTATTTTTCGCAATTTCAAAAAATATTTTAAAAATTAATTTTTTTATTAAAATTTTTTTTAAGATTTGAAAATAGCCATTTTATAGATAAGTCATAAAGTAAAATTTTGATACCAAAAATTCTTATTTTAATTCAGTAGTTAGATTTATGGAACATTTTGAAGTTTGTTGAATTTTATTTTTTTTTTATAATTTTCCTATGGTATCAATTTAGTTAAATTATTTTTTTATATGCCGCTTCGCCGGCCATTGGTATTTAAAGACCCCCCGTTATCCTTTAAATTTAAGATACACTTTGAAGAACTTCTAATATAAGTGGTTACTTGTTATTTAATTATTGTCTACTCTCGTTACTTATTGGAAGTGCGGTTAGCCGTCATCCTTCCAGGTGACCCTTCTCACTCTTCAATAATAGCGATTTAAACAGGCTTAAGGCAAAACAGCATTCTAGTGCACAACTAGCCGTCCTACGGTCTAGATGCCTCATACGAAACCGTTTTAATTGTTATATTATAACAATTTAAATTCTTATCACATTTAGTTATATTTTAAGTAATTACAGCGTTCCACTTTCTGACAGTATATATTATTTATATTTTTTTTCATTAACTATTATAGTGTTCCATTTGAAGTAGTTTCATTGCCGATATAAGTAAAGTGTTGATATTTTACTTTAAACGATACTCAAGTAGGAGTATAAGGATGTATACAGGTGATTTATTCATTATAAATCACTTAATGAATATAATTTTTTTTATACTGTGACGTGTAGAAAATCAGCTGGTAAATGACAAAAATAACAACATCGTGTCTCATCTCCAGCTATTACTATAAAATGTTAACATCCGAAATCATAATTTAAAAGTTGTTATCGACCAGTCATTTTATTAATTAGATCATTATCTATTAAATTAGTTATTTAGTTATGATGTTGTCATTTGAAAAAATTTAATTAACATCCTTATAAAGTATATGAGATAAACATAAATAATACATTATGATTAATGAATTGAGAAAAATATGCACCTAAAAAAAAATCTCAGTATTATTTTATTTTTTGATTAATTAAGTGTTTCATAATAAAAGAATAACTCTATGATATTAAGCTTAATAAAAATGAAGTGTTAAATAATTACGTTTTTGTTTATTTTCTACAACAGATTTTATAATTCAATATATGTTTCATCTACATAGTGATAAGAACTGCTACCATTAAATGATCAAAGTGGGGTAATGGTATAAGACACCCGAGTTTTAATTTTATTAATGATATTGAATAATGTATAATTTATTAAAATTATTTTTACAAATTGTTTTACTTTTAAAGTGAAGTTTGCTTATGTCAAATTGTATTTTAGTAGAATGTATATTATAAACCAAAAAAAACTTTAACCAATAATTTTTTTCGATATTTTTTTTCTAATATTTTAGTGTTATCGATATTTATATTTGCTATCAGCAACGATACTCACTTTCAATATTTTATCTATGTACTCACCTAGTTTAATTTTCAAAATTAGGCATTAGTTACTACATCCGAATAATATTAGACGATACACAGGATACTGAATAGTTTGTGAATATTGGGCCCAATTCATCCCAAAGTAAAATGTATGTCCGTTAATAATAATTACAATTAAGTAATTTTTAACGCATGGCTAATCTAACCGAAACCAAATTTATATTGAATGATTGCAATGAAGTGTCAACTTTGATTAAAAAATACTCCTTGAAATAAAAACGAATGAAATTAAAACATATTTGGTTTGAATCAAAATGAGACAATTTGTCTCATTTTAATTTTGATTAATTTGTTTCAAACAAATTAATAAAAGCCAACATAGTAAAGTAAGGATTGTATACAATTAATGAAGTTAGTAAAAAAAAATTAAATGTACACCTCTGTGTAATTTTCTTGATTAGACGTATTTTGTTACCAACTAATTTGCATAATGTATTTACATAAAAATATCTGAGTTAATCATATAAAACGATTATAAACGGTAAAATATTTTTATAAATATTATTAATATTTTAAATCCCGATATTTTACATTTTTAATTTTAGAGCATTAAAAATGTTTATACAAATATTATTCCAAATAAAATAGTACTTTTAAATGATTGTTGGGGTAAGTTCGCAGTATTTCTTTTCAGTTATTTGGATAATTTTATTTTTCATTTTCACTATAATTTTAGTTTTAGTATAATAAGAAAATAGTAAAAACAAAATATAGTTTGTTGCATTAAAATTTTTTTAACTGAATAATATTAATGAAGGGTGTCTAAAATCAAGTATAACCAAATGCCTTGACATTTATTAATTAAGTTAGAAAGTCATTTTAGTTTTGTATATATATATACTGATAATTGAAATTGACTTTTTATTTGATTAACATAATATTTTAATATTGTTATATTTTAAGTTAAATCAATTTATTAGATAAATTAACGCTTAAACTAAATTTTATCTTTTAAACCATTTGTATATAAAGATATCAAATAATATAATTTGATACATATAAGTCTACTAGACTAGACAAACGACATATTTAAATACACTATAAATAAATAAAATAGTGCCTACTATTAATTTATTAAATATTATATAAATTATGTCTCACTGAATTAATTTATTTAGAATTTTGCACTCTTTTAATAAACATGTAATATTTTTTTTGAACTATTCTTATTTAAAGTTCGCCAATTAAAGCGATGAAGGGGTATGAACTTTCTTGTTGTTCTTAGATATGTAACTGAAAACAAAAAATTTTAAATATTGTAGGATTTATTTTACTAAAAATATTTCTTGCGTGATTAATAAGAATAATTCACCACTGATTGGTCTTATTTCATTTTTTACATGCATTTATACAAAATAATGTTTTGATTGAAATGGCTACCAAATTGCAAATAAGAATAGTTATTTTAATTTGTCGGTTTGAATAATGTGAATTAACAGATATATAAGTAAAGTTATAACACATACTGTTTTTATTGAAGTAGCCGTCAGAAAATGATTATTACAGACGTAGATATTACAGCTATGTATCTAGAAGAGGTAATTTCAGAAGGTTACTACTGTATACATTAAATAAAAAATCTCTTAATGATAACGTACTTCCTTATACTTATTTTATACTATAGTATTTTATACTACTTGTAACAATTACAAGATCTTATTTTCCAAATTGTGCACACTGCATATTTAAATGAAGTGGGCTACCTAAAAAAAATTAATTAAAAATTTGATTTAATAATAATTTGTATTTTAAAAGAATTAAAAATTTGTATAGTATTAATGGCTAGATATAAAAGGTTAATTTTTTAAAAAACTAAGAATTGACGCCCGGAAATTTTTCTTAAATAACTGATAAATAAATTATCTTAAAAATAATATCTTCATAATTTGAATATTATAGGACATGATTAAAAGTGCGTACTTTAAGCTTAAGGTTAAGAAAATATAAAAATATGTAAGTTTTTAGATAATTCCTCAAAAGTTTTGATTTTTCAAAACAGTTTTCAGAAACATTTTTGTAGAATTTGTAATTAACTTTTAAAGTATTCTTATCAATAAGAATACTTGCATAGACAATTGTTTTTTTATAAAAAACTAAATAAAAACAGATAATAATCACATTTTTTGAAAATTTCCTTTTTTTTTATATTTTTGGCAATAATTTTTTTAATTACTAAAAAAAAAAAATTGTATATAATTAAAATTCTTGTAACTTATTTTTTCTAAAAAATTATTAATTTTTTGTTCAGTTTACTTTTCTAATAAAATTAAGGAAAACGACAAAAAATCTGATTTTCACATTCTTACGACATATTTATTAAAAATAATTGTATGCAAAAATTCATATTGTCTGTTGTTTATTACATTAGAATTTATAAAGATAAGTTTCATATCATTTAAATAATTTTGTATAATAAAGTTAATAATTGTTTCAACACCTATAAAATACAATGTCGGTCTAAAAAAACACGTCATAATAACATGAATACCTTCTTAGCATTGTATTAAGCTAAAACATAAATAATTAAATTACGGAAAGGCTATTTTTAATTTGGGTTACTGAAATAATATAAAAGTATAATTTGTAAATTATGGTTTTAATTTTAACAGAAAAAGATTCAAGCATGTGTTCAGGTGATGCGTACTTTTTACTAAGTGGTCGTTGTCTACGTATTCAAAAATTGCATATAAAATGTTTTTTATCGGTGGGAAAATATCAATACAGACTTATTAAGAGCGACTGCAAAAATTGTAAAGATCCAAAACACCGCACAGTTTACGTTAAAACTTCTGAACTCGGGCCAGGATCTGTATTTAACATCGGTAAATTTATAACTTAAAACATAAAAACAGATATTCAATATTATTAAACATAAGGCTTATAAATTAATAAAATATAATTTTAGTGATTTTCATTTTACATGGTAGGTGAAAAATCTGAAAATGGATGTTTAGTAGTAACAATAAGCGAAGTCAAGTTTTTGCTAGTGCCATTGAATTTCTTGACGAAACACAATACGGCCAACATATGGGGCCGAATAGTATGTTCATTAAATTTAAGTACACTTTCTGTCCAACAATGTTTTCAAAAGTTTGTGACTTCTGAGAGGTGGGAAGAATACAAAAAATCTGTCGTGGATTCAGTAGTACAAAAATGGCAAAACTATGAAGACCAATCAAAATTAAAATAACTTTTACTAGACACAACTATGATTTGTGAATATTTTTTTAAACGAATTATAGGTATAAGAATGATAATGAATATGTATTAATTATAAAAAAGACTTGGCCATGATTACTTTATTGACTAAATTATAACATCTAGATCATAAATAAGTAATACTATTAAATAAGTTATAGTAGGGTGTGAAATATTGAAAATTTCTACAGCAAGTAAACCTTTTGTAAATGGTTAGTAGGTGTAGATAAATCGTGCGTGTTTACACAAAACTCATTGGATGTAAGCCAAAATGGGAGGGCGTCAAAGCTAAATAAGGGTACATACTGTTAATTTACTTTATACATTCATTGATTTAATGTGTCTGAAAATGAGCAGTAAATATCTACAATATATGTTTACATTAGTAATTGGTGAATTTTAAAGCTGTATAAATTATGAAAATTATACTTTCACTATAAGAAATGGTTCAAAAATTTCTATTAGTCAGTAAAATATTTTTAATACACACGTTAATTTTGACATTAAGTATTATAATTTTGAATCCAAATATAACATTTTTATTATAATTCATCAAAATTTTCTCTTACACAACTTTTACACATTAAACACTTCGAATACATCGAGAAAAAATTGGAACATTTTCCTATCCCCGCTTCGATGAGGAGCTGAGAAAGTATTATTTTTACCATAATTTGTATTTTATTTTTTGTGTCTGTCTATGTAAATTTGAGCTCGCACTGAGCCGATCTTAAAGATCTATATGTCAAAAGAATCCTAATTTAATCTAGTTGAAAATATCACATTAATAAATTGAAAAACCCTGAATTTCTTTACAAATTGGTCCTTTTTTTCCATATTGCTATTTCTTATTCAAAATTATATTATTATTGATTCTTATGAAATTTTAATGGAGTATATTATACTTAATAAACTTTTTTTTTTTGTTTATTACTGACAAATATTATCTCTACTTGTCAAGGGCGTGCCTAGGAGGTAGTTTTGGGGGTTCAAACCACCTCCAAATTGACTTTTTAAATTTTTAACCTAATTTTTTTCATGAAGTAAAAATTATATATTATAGTACATTACAGTTACGGTGAAATAAAATTTTATTTTTATAAGATTAAGTCTTCAAATGTGCTTTTAATATTTGACAGTGGTATTAAAATATTATGGGCTTTTATTAATACACTTAGGATAGTTTATTTTATACCTACTTATTTTAATGATATAATTGTAAATTTAATACTAACATCAAAAAATTAAAACCACCCCAAAAAAAAATTCTAGGTACGGCTCTGCTACTTGTCCTAACTATTCCAAATCCACTTTTTCTGGGCTTATAACAGTATTATTTGTAACAGAGAAAGAATAACAGCAAGTATCAGCGAAACTGTTGTTCCAATTTTATAGAATATAAAATAAAATAATTTTACTATCTTTAATTTAAGTTGATAAAATTTATATATCTTTAAGCTTGTATTTGTTTAAATTTAATATTGCTTATAAAATATTGATTTTAATTAGATAAAAATATTTACTTTTATGTAGTATTACTTGCATAATTACAATAAAATAGCAATAAATAGAACAAGACAGATTTTTTTATTGACTGTTAGGTTTTAGGAAGCTATATGTTTTATTAACTCCAACGATGGGAAGTCAATAATTTTATGATAATTCCTTTAAAGGTAAAAAAATTTAAATCACATACAAAATTTTTTAAACAACGTATATTTTTATAATTTATTTTATAATTTTTTTTCCATATAATTTAACACAAATAGCAAAGATTGAAAACATCCAACATAATTCAAGCGAAACTTACAATCATCAACTATAGTAAACATGTTTGAGTATATAATATAATTTTAGACACATATATTAGTATAAATTTTATCATATAAATTTATGTACTTTAATAAATATATAATAATAATTATTATTTTTGTTTTATAGTTAATTGCATTTGCACTTTGTATATATAAATAATTATTATACTTTTAACATTAATAATATATTTTTAATTGTATTTAAAAATAAATACAATTGTATAATCACCTTAGAGTTTAAAAATTTTAATGGTACTATATTTCTTGTTTGATTAAAGCCTCGTGACTGTACTTAATTTTAAGAAAATTTGTTTCATGTTTAAAATTACTCATTTACTTTAGTCAATTTGTAATTAAATTTAAAATTTTTAAAATAAACTCCATTTTTTTTAATTTTTAAAACAGTCGTTGTACCAATTTTTAGTTTTTAATTTTGTAATAATATACACTAACCCAAATTAAATTTGCACTTAACTTATGCATACTCATTTAGATAAACTTCATATTATCATTACAACAGTAAATTACAAACTGATAATCTTTTCAACTAAATTTAAATGTATGATTTGATGTAAAAGAAATGTAAGTAAAGCGTTTTTTAAAAATGTATTTTAATCAAAACATTTTAAATTAATCTATAGTTTAGTTATTTTAATATTTTTCAATAAATTATAACGTGATAACTTGATATAAGTTGAATATTTTCAAAAAATCATTTTTTCAAAATTGGCTGAGATAACTGATAAATAAAATGATGATTTTGGTTTTAATTCCAATATAGTAATTTGAGCAACACAAATTCGATTGAAAAAAATGATATATATAAAATTAAGAGTGGTGAATTTTAGTAAAAAAATCATTTAACAAATTAATTAATATACTATTAATTAAATGGTTAATTTACTGAAATTCTCCATCCCTATAGAAAACCCTGGTACAACGAACAGACTAGGTGATTAACAATTTATTATTATTATTATTTGAAAAAATAATTCATTTGAAATGTAATTCTCAATAATTAATACAATTAGTTATAATGGAATATTTTTTTATTTTACAATAAAAATAAAACAGACAAAAAACAAATCTAATTCAAATACCGTCAATTATTATTTAATATTTTTAATTATTATTTCTCGTACCCTGTTCGCCGGATTAACGATAATTGATAACAAATGATATACTTGAAATGTATTGATAAATATATGAACATGTAATAATCATTGCTGTTTATATTATTATCAGGTAAACAATGCAAACTCAATGCTTATTCTGTGTAAAAATCACACCTATTTTTATAAATTTATATAAAATCACATCATCATTATTATCATGATTATATTTTGTACATAGATTACAACTATGTACCGTAACACAACTTTTCAATATATTTAATCATTAAATTATAAAGCACTCACCATTTTAAAAGAGGAAAGTTCGTCAGAATATTGGTGGCATAAAATTTGTTTTGCCTTTTTAATATTAAAAGATTAAGTTCACTAAAAATTTGACAAAATAATAAATGTATGTATATCAAAATTTCATATTAACACCTCATATTAATATGTACAATGTTCAACATACATTATAACGTATGTTAAGTACTGTATGTATATAAAATATAAAGAAATTATGGCTTAGTAAATCTATTTTGTACTTAAGCCTTGGTATAACTTTATACTTTTGTTGTATAAATTATTGAAATTATGACTTTTCACGTCAATTTTAAAACTGGTGAAATATATCATTATCAACCAGTCAAACTAAAAGACAGCATCTGACTATCGTTTATCTATTCAATATTTAAAAATGTTAGCGTTAAAGGTCATTATGATTACATTGAAACCATTGCACGAGTTATGTTCTCATCACCTTTGCAACTCTCCATGAACTCCTCGAAAGACACCAGTCCATCACAATTAAGATCCATTTTCTGTAAAAATAAAAATTGATATTATAAAATGTTAGAAACTTAATTAAGTATGAATAAGTTTTAACTATTGTAGCAATACCACGATTTGATAACTTTATAGTGATGTTAATATTTACTCTATTATTTAAAAAACTTGACTGGTACTGAAAAATCAATTGTTTTAACTTTGGTTTAGTTTATTTTGACTGGTAAAACTATACTTTATAAAATTTTATGCTATAATAATTTATGCATTACTTTTTTGAAAATAATATTTTAAAATGAAAAACACTACAAATGAGAGACAATATGATGAAATTGAAAAGTGTAAGTAGGTAATAACTGGTGACACAAACGGCAGAAGTGGCATAAAACCTTATATAATATTTATATCAAGTATATTTTATTAAAGCTAAAAATATTAGCACATTATTCAATTTTGAAAAATATATTTGATTTACGTTTCATGGTTCAATGTAACATTCACCAAGTTCTTTGATTAATTAACGAAATTGAAAGCGTTTAAACTAATAACTGCTCTCTTAGTATAAATATAATTCTGCAGATAATTATTTTGTAACCATGGGCTATATATTACTCGAAACTCATTGATACATTTATAAGTTTTCTAGATTTCTAAATTAAAACTAAAATTTCTTTTTCGATTATTACTTATTTCTATTGGTTTTATCACTTTGAATATAATATTTTTATTTTTACATTATAATTATTCCTTCTAGTAGGTCTCACGGTCTTTTTATTTATTAATTATTTAAGTGATTTATAACAGCCTATTTATCAATTTAGAATTTATCTTAATTAGTTAATTATTAATGTTTCATATTGAGTAATAATAAATTGATATTTTGTATTACAATAGAAATATTGTTTTGATCGTAATTGTAATTTTCTAACTAATAACTCGACCTTTTCTTACTCTTTGCTAATAATAATAAGCTGTAATGGTACATTTAGATAAGACGATTTGCTGTTATAAATAGTAACACGTGCACTATCAGATGGGGCTTTCCATCAGTGGTGGTGGCGCTGGTGATGCGTTATCATAGACCATTGGTAATTTTGAATATGTTTTAATGAACAACACATTTTTATTTTCTTCTCTCTAATATGAATTAAAATGAAAATAATGAAAAAATGGCAACGAATATAAAATATATTCGGGTTCATGGACCAGTGAATGCGATATCACCGAAAACGACGTTATAAAAGTCAGAATTTAAACCACTAATCATACGCAAGACATTCACATACTATACAACCATTGGAATTAATATGTTTAATTTTATATAAATACTGGCATAAATTTAATTATTGTTTTAACACAGAAAACTATAGTTTGCTTATTATGTTAATGAATTGTAATCAAACCTATTTTTTATATATTTGTAAAATAAAATAAATACTATGTTATTGTAAAATAAAACAAATACCATTTCAAAGCACTATAAGCATGTGTTTAAGACGACAAGATAATCCTCATTTTTCAAAGCAATCATTTTTTTTTTTGTATTATTTTTTCAAAATTATTATTCATACTTCCATGGGTAATCAACCCATCTGATAAGTCATTAAAAAAATGTCAAATGATTCATTTATTTTTTTTCTAATAATTGTAAATAAGAAAAGTTATTTTATTTTCCTGACTTAAGGTATTCTAAAAGAAATGACGAAAGTTTCCATTTTGCAATTATTGCTCTGGGTACTTAGAGTAGTTTTTATTTAAACTAAAATCTATTAAAGACAATTTATCCAAAACAGATAAAATCTATATAAAAATTTTAATAATAGATATTTGTTTTAATGTGTACTGACAAATATTTAACTATAATAGTATTATAGACTATGTTGTTTTCATCAATAGTTTAGTTAAGAATCGGTCTTAGTTACTACTAAAATTTAAAAGTTATTGAAATCTCTTTTTTGAAAAATTGTATACTCTTAAAGTCTTGTAAGAAGTTTGAATGTTATCGCGGCATTTTTTAAATAAATACATCTAAGTTAATGACCAGTTTTTATGATATATTTTAAAGAAATAAATTAGTAATCGTATGTTATGATTACTAACTTAAGTTTAATATTTTTAAAATGTAAAAAAAAAGCTATTTCATCCTTAATCTATTTGAGATCAAATTATTATACTCGAGAAAAAGTGATTTATTACTTTTATTTATAGTTCTACAGCATTAATAGAAAATAAAAACCCTACATAAAAGTCTACTTTAAGCAAAAAAAAAAAAAACACTTTAAAAATAGGCTAAAAAAATATTTTATGTAAATTATTCATACCCAAATAATATGTTGAGTGATTCATACGTACAAATGGCGGAAAAACATGTAGGATTAGTAGTTTTTATATTGAAAAGCTTATGCGTGGAATAAAAAACAAATAAAAAACCGGAAAAACAATAGCAAGTATATTTAGTAAAAAAAAACAATGTTTGATTAAGAAGTACAATCAGGAATGTACAATTTTACTCATTGTAAATTAGTATATACAATTTAGTGATTAAGTGATTATCTATGAAATACAAAAAAGGTAACCACGTTTAAACTTTTTAAATTGTTATGTTAAAAATATGTTCAAGAAATTTAACTTCAATTCAAAAAAACCCAGCACAGGGGGGTCGCGGCATAGTGGTGACGTGGCATAGTGGTGACGTGGCATAGTGGTGACGTGGCATAGTTGGATCAAGTATAGTGATATCTGACAGTGATTAAAATCACTATAAAAAAAAGACGCTTCGATGCAAATCTTTAGATAGTGTTTATTTTAAAAATTGGTGAATTTTTCCAAAAGCTACATGATCTATTATTTCCTTATTAATATCCTGATTAAGATAAAGTATATCGAATGAAAAAGGGATTATTAAAAAATATTATTTCTTATAAAAAAATTGTGTTGATCCATACACTTTACAATAATATATAGCATTATAAAGTTAAAAATGTTAAAAAAAAAAATCGAGAATTTTCACACAAAAATAGCACTTGGTAGCCTTTTTCACTGTGAAGACAAAATAAAGTCCCAATTTTTTTTTTCCATGATAAAGTATATTACATTAGCTTTAATTTAAGATATATATAACAGTATCAGACTTTCTCGAACAATTTCAAAAGTCAAGTTGAAAAAATTAATTTTTTGTGAAAAAATTGTCATTTTAAAACCCCCCCTGTGGGCAGGTAAAGGGTCAGATATATAAAAAAAATATACCAAATGAACGGTAATGATATCATGTATCATATTATATTGAATTGGTTATTTTTAAATTGTTATGGCAATTTTAAGTAAAAAAAATTAAAAAAATTAGCGATTTTTAAATTTTGTAATTTTTTTGGAGGTTTCCCCCATTTACAGGGAACGAGGGAAATTTTTTTAATTTTTGAGGATAATGTCTTCGACTAGATACAATTTGTGATCTTTTGACGTATCATTGAAAGAAAACGGTTCGGTGAGAGCTGAGAAAAAGTGGCGAAAGATACATAAAAAAAAAAAACACATCATTGGAAAACCAATACCTTCTCAGCTTCTCATCGAAGCTAAAATTGAAATTATCCATTTTACCGTGTGATCTCATTAAATTTTTTTTAATTCAGATTTCAATAAAATTTGATTGAATATTTATTGTATTTGAAATTTAAGTTTCTAAAATACAAAAATATATGTATAACATTAATTTAGAAGTGTTGAACTTTTTAGTTTTCATTATTTTTATATTAAAATTACTGTAAAATTTTATTTACATTTTTTAATTGTATTTACGAAATAGTACCATAATTACATCATATAGTAATTATAAAAATATTAATTAATTTTACTATGCAAATTATCAAAATTGTGCTATTATTACTGCTAATAAAATTTTTATTTTTAAACGTTTTTCAGCTCTATAAGTCTATTTAAGATTGTTATTTTAACATTAGAAAAAAAAAATTAACAATAAACATGTTAATTTAACTATCTATAGTAATTAAAAATATTTTTATTGTTAGTCGGATAGTTTATTGAATTTCTAGTATATTTATCATTCTGAAACAACACTTTGATAGCAGAAATTCTACTATAAAGTACTATAAATTACCTCTAACCCGAAGAATGGTATTTCTCTCAAGCCTTCTAAAGATTTCCCTCTTGTAGTAAATTTTTTTCTTCCATTTCCTTTCATTTTAATTAAGTTAAAATTTACATATTGTATTATTATTTCTAGCTTTGTTTTTTATGTAATTTATTTAATAACAAAGTTTAATATAATATACCGAACGTCAGTTCAGTCATATTTTAGTTTTTACTTAAAAAAACATATTAAGTTAAAGAATTTTCAAAAACTATTAGACACAACATTTCATTTTTATTATTGAGTTTAAAGTTGTACCATTCTTTGATTCAGCTACCGTAAGTGATGTGAAAAATACTTGTCTATAATAAAAATACATGCCATCGATTTTAAACAAACTGCTTTCATTTAAAATTAAAGTTCTTGCGTTAACGCGAGTTCGTGCATCATTCACCGATAAAACATACATGAAACTAGCAGTAATCAATCCTCTGCCGTCGTCAACATACACAGATAAAGAAACAAAGTAAATTAAACTGCCCCTATCACCCATTTTACACGTGCCAAGTCACTACACTTCAAACTTTGTTTTTCTCCCTTCAAAGTGGTTGAATGAATATACGGATGACTGGCAGTTGTCTGTCGAGTATTTGAGTTTCTCATTCGGGTGTTTTGAACAAAACGAAAATGTTGAATGAAATTATGTCATTGACAGCAATTTTATAGAATTGTTATTATTACTGGCACCAAAATTAGCAGAAAAAGGTAAGCAAATATTACCCAAGTGACAAATGCTAAAGAGGGATTGAACAAAATTAATTAATTGTATGACTGTTAACATATTTTTTTTCACTTGAATACATCTGCGGCTAACGGTTAATAACATGTTTACGATTGGTTCTAATAATTACTTTGAGGTAAATATTACTAATTATTTTTACCCGTTTA